GTAAACATCTTTCTGGTATTCTCTGCTTTCAGCCAAGATCCATTGGACATCAGCAATGACATCCTTTGTTTCACGACCTCTTCTGAATCCGGCTTGAACCTCTGGAAGTTCTCTGTCAATATATGCTTGCAGCCATTTACAGAAAGATAAAATGGGGGGTGGGGGGGATGACTAATAGTGTCCTAGGGTCTCCAATCTATCCGTTACTGTACTAAACTGATCTTCAAGTCTTAGCCTTTAGAATTCTGAGTAAATTATGGCCAAAACAGGAGGAAAACTTCCTGAAGGGGCTGCAGAGCTGTGTCCTTTATTACCTGGAAGTATCTCCTCAAGTCCAGAAGTAGAAGACAGGTGAAATGACACTGTCCAGACCAAGCTAGTGCTAACATACCCTTTATAGAGTTGGCTTAAAATAGAACAGATCTCCTAGGATTTGTGTAACCCAGAAAGATATAGTTCCATTGGCACCTGTATGTGACCTCTATGTCACTGAGCTGAAAATAATTTGAGAGAAATAGGAAGAAGAGGTTAAAAAAAAGAAAAGAAAAGAAAAACACTCATCTTTTCTCTATTCTCACTTTTTTAATTATTTGAGAAATGGATTAGTTAGTATCAGGTTGCTATCCCCAAGATCAGTAGTTCAAATCCACCAGTCACTCCTAGGAAGGCTGTCTGCTCCTTAATGTTTATAGTCTCAAAACCCTAACAAGCAGTTCTACTCTTTCCTATAGGATTGCTACGACTCAGAGTGAAACTAACGGCATCGAGTAGTAACAATGGGTGCTGATCTATGTACTGTCTTCTTCATTTCCCAGGTTATGAATTTAGTAGTGCTTGTAGGATAAACACTGTACCACAAGGTTGATTTAAACCACAAGGTCAGCAGTTCAAATTCACCAGCTGCTCCTTAGAAACCCCATAGAGGATGCTATGAGTTGACAGCACTTAAAAACAATAACAGACTAAAAATGGCCACTAAACAGATCTCCAGGATAAGCATTGGACGGCAAACCACAAGGTTGGTAGGTTTAGCCCACCAGATCAAAAGATGAGGCTTTCTGCTACAACAAAGATTGAAAAAGCCTAAGAAACCTCTACAGGGTCGCTCTGAGCCAGAACGTACTTGACAGCACTTAGCAACAACAAATATCACACTCCAAATGAGCAATTTGTGTAGAGAAGCTTAGTTGTTGTTGTTGCTAGGTGACAATATGTCCGAAGTATGAGAAATGAAGTTTGGCCATCTTGGCCTCCAAGGAGCACTCTGGCTGCACTT